GCACACTTGCACCTCACGCTCCTGACCTGCAACATGTGTCACATTCCCATCCTTGTGTTTCCCTTGTGCAGAGATTACAGTCACAAAAAGAATTGCACAGTGGATTTCTAATGAGACTACCAATCTTATTTTCCCTTATTTTCCCTTAATGCCTGAGCAAGGTTGGAATTTGATTCTGATCTCACTTGAACCAGTGTAAACCACAGAGGTCAGTGGAGATATCCTATCATGAGGTGAGAACCAGGGTCTAGGTCTCCAAAAGTAATAGCTTAGACTAAATTGCATGTGTGATTGTGATTGAATGATTAATTATAATGAAATGGTATGCTCTTTTTTTCAACATTGTAGTTAAACTATTGTATAAAAGTTTTCACTTAGCTTATATCACATTTTTACTGACATCAAAAGGGCTTGGGAATAACAGGTTCCAATAAGGCTTTGTTGAAATTTTGAGATAATAAAATTTTACATCTTAATATTTATGATTCTAATAAACTACCACAATATTAAAATGAAAGATAAAAACTGAGGTCAAAAACTACAATTTGTTGTCAAGACAAAACTATTTTGAATAATAAACCACTATTGAAATCTAAGATCACTTTCTACAATTTAGTGAGTGATCCCCTTGGTGATATATCCCGGATATTAAACTAAGTTTAACTCACTTGCACCAGCTGTTTTAAATTGGTACATGACATACTGCCAAATGATAGTACAAAAATACACATGAAAAGACATAGTAACCATTTAGGGTCTGATTTTTACCTGACCTGAATCTCATAAAGTGATCCCAAATTGGTGTATCTGCAATTAAAGAGTTAGTAAGATTACTGCTAATAATGGTGAATAACAAAGAAAAAGGTATAATTATTGGGTCATCTATCAGGCCATGTGGCATGATGTCAGCTGATAGAGTGTGAATGTTAGCTGTCTAGCCCACCTCCCAACCTGCAGACCTCCTAATGTGCGACAAAAGTCAAATTGACCAGAATATCCATGTTTTGTTTGTCTCCTGCCATAAACAACAGGTTATAATGGTTTTAATGATGAAACTTAATTAAAGGATATTCTCTCACTGTGTGGATGAAATAAAACTATTTATTTAAAGATTCTCTCCTGTGCAACATGAAGGACCCCACACATGAATTATCAGCAGCGTTTGACTCTGGCCCTTTAGATACCCAGCATAGGCTTCTGCCACTTGAGCTAAAAGATTAACTATTATTCTCTACATGGACCAGCTACTAGCGGAGGCCTTGACACACACATTGCTAGTGACAATTATTTGCTGGACATCTGAAAACTGGGAATTCCAAGTTCTATTTCTGATGCTGGGAGTGGAGTGTTTTCTACTGGTGAGAACAGTGGTTACAAACATGAGAGAATGGGGCACTGTACATCTAAACTATTCTGTTTCTATAATTTAGATAATAAGCTTGGTGAGGCAGGGATCATGGTTTTCTCTCTTTTGTAAAATCCAAGCAGACTGGCAGTGCCCAATAACAAGGCCTGGATCAAAGAGTTTCTTCTATTTTTGAAAGTATTTGCTTTCACTGACTGCTCTCAGCTCCATAGGAACACAAAAGAGATCTCGAAGGAAATCAGAACATTTGAAAGAATAGTTTTACTTTACTCTGGGTGATCCCAGATAGATTAATTACATCACAAATTAAAATAAAAAACTGCAATGGATTTTGCACTTTATCATCTCTTTCTGACTGTCTCCTTTCAGATCACATAATAAAATAAAACAAAAGTGAAATTTGCCAAGAAAAGTTATTAAATGTTTTTTTAGAAACTGCAAAAAGAACAGGAGTACTTGTGGCACCTTAGAGACTAAGAAATTTATTTCAACATAAGCTTTTGTGGGCTACAGCCCACTTCTTTGGATGCATAGAATGGAACATATATCGAGGAGATATATACACACATACAGAGAGCATGAACAGGTGGGAGTTGTCTTACCAACTCTGAGAGGCCAATTAAGTAAGTGAAAAAAAACTTTTGACATGATAATCAAGCTAGCCCAGTACAGACAGTTTGATAAGAAGTTTAAGAAAACTTACAAGGTCAGAT